ATTTTTCATACAGATTCTAAACTGATATAGATAGAGACCATGTTAGTTCCCAGCATGACTTTATAAAGGATCAGTATGTATCAGTCTTCTCTGGGTCTTAGGATGGAAAATAGAGAAAATACTTGAGGTCTTTTTTGTTTTATTAATTCAGCAGCAATCCTAATGCATGTGCTGGTACACTGACATAGGAGTTATCTTTTAGATGGCCTTCCCTGTTCCTCATTCATTCTGCTATGTATAATATAGAAAGTACATAGACATTTTTTTTTTTTACCCAGTGCAAGCCATGATTTTCTTAATGTTTTCATCACACAGGCTTTAAAAATGCTTGGTTGAAACAGCTAAAAAAGTAATTGTAGCTGTGATTATGTAAGGGTTGCATTTTACTATGAGCCCTGAGTAGACAAACTCTACCCACTCATGGTAACAAGAGTCATTGTCCTGTATAGAAATACATCCAGTAAACAATTGTGGAGGTTTTCCAATTTATCTTATAGCCAATTTATCTAAAATGTCTTGAGAAGCCCAATGATTTATTTTCAGTTGTAGTTATAATTTTTGAGTCTGGCAGGTCTGAGGAGGAACAAGTTTGGAGCAAGCCCTCAAGTGCCTGCGGTCTGGAGGCAGTAGATGGCCGTGTGCTCTCTTGGATGGTTTCTGTTCGCTCTCAGCTTGAGAGCCATGAAGCTTTGTACTACAGTATGTGCACACAGTCCAAGTATTCTTTCATTCATGTTTTTCTTCCTTTAACTAGATCATAAGCTCCGTTAGTGGAGGGACCTCGGATTATTTTGTTTCTGCTGACCCTCTGGTATAGTGGCCTCTGCTTTGGAGGCAACTAGAATCTTGGCAAAGATTACCCTCTAGAGTCATGGACTTGAAAACGCAAAGTTTCACTCTGTTCTATGTCCTTGGCTGAAAGCCAGGATAATCTTCAGGTAATAGCATCCACCTCAGAGCCTGTTCAGGATACAGGCAAAACCTCCTCTGGTAGCTTGAGAAGTCTAAATTTCTATCTTGTTAGGTACAACAATAACATAAGGGTTCATCACGTGCTGGCTAATATTATTGTGTGCCTAGGACTGTCCTAAATTATTTACATATATTTTCATTTATTAAAATGACATTGGACTCACATTGCAAATCTGCTACTTACTTGGGCAAGTTACCTAGCCCTTCTGTGCCTCAGTGTCTTCTGTAAAACAGTCATAAGATTGTGGGGGTTTTTTTGTTTGTTTGAGTCAGGGTCTTATTCTGTCACCCAGGCTGGAGTGCAGTGACACAATCACGGCTCACCACAGCCACAAACTCCTGGGCTCATCTTGACCCTCAGGCCTCAGCCTCCTGAGTATCTGGGATTACAGGCATGCGCCACTATGCTCAGCAAACTTTTTGCTTTTTGTTGAGATGAGTTCTTCCTTTGTTGCCCAGGCTGGTCTCAAACTCTGGGGCTCAAGCAATGCTCCCACTTCAGCTTCCCAAAGTGCTGGGATTGTGGGTGTGGGCCACCATATCTGGTCATAAGATGGTTTTGAATGAAGTATTTCCAGAGTATAGACCTTTTTATTCAAGCTTGGCATTTAGTAAGAAGTCAGCATTGACATCGCTAGATGAATGGTAGTAAGAATTAGTGGTCCTGTTTTTCAAATAAAGAACTGAGGCGTAGAGAGCTTCTTTCAACAGATACGTGCTGTCTGGTGCCGGAGTGTTAGAGCTTGCCCTCCTTAACATAGCTAGTGAGGGCCGGAGCCTGGATTTGAACACAAGTGGGCCTGAATGCTGTGCTCTTCTGTTACTGCCTCCAGTAACATACTGGGTATTCCCGTAGTGATTATAATCTCTTGTCTCCTTTGGGAAAACAAAGACGCAAAGTAGCTCCAATTTGATTGCAGGGCATGGTGCTCTAGTACAGCTGTTTATCTACTTAGGCAAGTGCTAGTTTGGTAAGCATACAATAAATTTATATGCGTTTACATATTCAACTACCCATAAGAAAGAGGCAACTAATAGCAAATAGTTTACTCAGCACTTAAAGGGTAGTGAAGAGGACATGGTTGACTGCAGGCAGACATGGTTCAGGGTCAAAGCTCTGCCTGTTACTGGTGTACTAACTAGGCCTCAGTTTGCTCAGCTGTAAAAGGGCTAACAGTAGTGTGTGCTTAAGGTTGACTGAGTTTTTAAAAGTAATATATGTTGTTGTGGTCTTGGCACATTAAATAATCAGTGCATGCTAATTATTGTTTTAGTTTTAAGGCTAGAAGGACAGTTGGTGCCGTATGAATCCTATGTAATACATCAGAAAAAGTCATTCAAAAAGTTACTCTTTCCTTCCAAAATGACAGAAATTATTAGAAATTGCTACATAAGAGAGATTATAGAATCACCAATATGAATGACTTAACGGTCATGTCTTATATACTAAGTAGAACATAATCAGAGCTCTTCTTTAAATGGATTTTCATGTCAATTGTTTCATGTCCTACCAATAAGAATGTTAGTGAAATATAAGATATGCCAATTAGACACAGAATAGAGAGCAGATATTCTATTCTGCCTGTGATTGCCATAGAAGGAGGTTAGAAGGTTTGGAAATCTTTGCTTGACTTTTACCATTGTCCTGAAGTAGAAGGGCTGAGTGTCCAAGTGGTTCATTTTATCAGGTTTTTTTTTTTCCCTTTGAGTTGGGATCTCTGTCACCCAGGCTGGAGTACGGTGACATGATCACAGCTCACTGCAGTCTTGATCTCCTGGGTTTAGGTTCAGGCAGTCTTCTACTTCAACCTCCCGAGTAGCTGAGACTATAGGTGCAAGCCACTAATTTTTTAATTTTTTCTAGAGACAAGGTTTTGCTACGTTGCCCAGGCTGGTCTCAAACTTCTGGGCTAGAGCAATCCTCCCGCCTCGGCTTCCCAAACTTCTGGGATTACAGGCATGAGCCACTGCGTCCGGCTTATCTAGTTTTTTAACACCCATGTCACATTTACCTCTGTTCTTGCCTCTCTGCATCAGATGATTACAACTGTAAGAATGCAGCTAGTCCTTGTATTTGTGTTAATGCAAAACTTTCCATCTGACCTACTAAGAGCAAACAGTATATTCATCTCCATCTTGCAGGGGAAGAATCTGAGACTTAGAGAGGTTGAGATTTGATTAACATTATGTGGCTGCTGAGGGACAGAACTGGGGAGACCTCTAGTTCTGGAGAGACTTCGTCTGTGGCTCTACCCATCTAATTCTAATTCCTCATCTTACCTGTGAAGGGAGGACAGCGAGCTCCTGGCGAAGGCAGTCTTGCCCAGGTCACACTGATAACTTGGGCACAATCAGCCTCCAAACCCAGGTCCTTCTGCTGGGGATCCTGACCTTTCCACCCTAAACACAAGCTACTGTCTCCTACCGGTGTGGAGAGCATCTCCCCTAGAGAATGGTGGGTGCTTCTAAAAAGAAAACTTTACCTAGACTTTCCCTCACTTCATTTCTGCCTGCACAACTCCATCCTTTATTGGGCTTTGAAAGATTTTCATGGGTTTTCCTAGGGTTTTTATTTCAGGAGCATGCAAGGAACACATGGTCATTTGGATCTCCTCTATGTTAAATTTCAGCAGCACTTTTCCAGAGTACGGAGCTAAGTATGAAATACTATTGTTCATTCCCGAAGGGAGTCAAATGTCAAGGTATTAAGGAAGGAAGAAAAGCTGGCAGACTTTGAAGGGCACAAACAGCACACACCTATAGGAACACCTTCATTTAGCAGTCTTCTTTCTCCCACCCACAAGCCCAAATGCAGTAAACCCTCTTAGCATATTATCTCTGGTTAGGAAATTTTTCCCTCAGTGTCTTCATGAAATAGTTAAGATTTTCTGACTAATTGCTTTATTATTTCAGGCTACATTCTTAATTACAGAGTTCATCTAGCCCCTCTCCTTAGCCCACGTATGCCTGCAACACTTTTCAAACAGATGTCAGAAATAGTCATCTGAGAATGAGATTTTGCTGACAGACTTAGAGAACACGTCTCCTTGATCCCTAATGTCTTGGAGACAGTCTCAAATAAGCAGAAGTAATAATGAAATAAGATTTCAGCATGGTGTGTGTTTGTTTTTTCTTACCTCATTATATAGTGATATAGAACCAAATTTGTTACTGTTCATATTGTTAGTTTATTGGTACCTTTAATTAGAATCATGAAAGAAGAGTATTGTTGAAAATGTTAGTATACCTGACATGAAAGCAGATTCAACTGGAAATATGATGTAAAATTCTATGGTGGATAAATCTTACCTAATCACAAAGTCACTCTACTTGAGGCCTATCTTTTTAAGTCCTTAGGATAACTTAGGATAGGTGAGATCTCCATGCTTGCCTGCTTCTTGATTTCCTGACTGAAGTAAAAACTTCCCTAACAGTTTGAATGTGAAGCAAAACTAAGCTGTTGTTAACCTGTTTGTCAGTAGCTTGGCCGTTTTCTCCGTGCCTTTTCTGACATGTTTTAACATGACTTCTTAAGGGATCAGAATGAGGATTGCCCTGTTCTTTGTGGTACAATGAAAAGACTGAGATTCTTTTATCAAAATGAAACAACTAGGATAGAGAAGAAACTTTCTCTTTTGGTCTCTCTCATTCCTGCCTTTTTTTTTTTTTTAAGAGATATGGATAAAAGATGATGAAACAAATCCAAGTTTTGGGTCTTGGGAAATATAAGGAACTTTCAATTATAGTCATCTAGTAAAGTAAATGTGGTTTAAAAAGTTTACTAAATAGAAGTGGTTATCAAAACATTATTTCCGCTTCTGAAGGCACAATTTATAGTTTTCATTTTTTGTCTGAGTTGGAAACAATGAAGCTTCATGTCCCCCCCTTCAGAAAGTGGGGCCTGCCAAAAAGGATTTATGTATCTTCTTGTTCAAACCTCACATTTAAGCCAAAGTACAGTTACAGTCTTATTCAGTATTGTGTCCCATCAAGCACAGTTCTTAAGAAATTAAAAATTTTTCATTTACCTTTCATTGCGGTGGCTGGCTGTCCATTCACCTCTTACGAGTGCCTTCAAGTTGAAACAGGCTTCTTGTCGCTGATTTAGAATGAGCCTCCAAACTAAGGTTGACAGGGAAATGGATTTTCTGGTAAAGCATAAAAAATAAGCATTTTCTCTCCTGTCAGAGAAGGCAGTTGCCTTCTCTCCCCCTTGTGTGATTGTCCTTTGGGGCACCCTTTCAAATTCTCCTGCTGAGAACAACTGGAGTAACTTGCTCTCTTGCTAATGTAAATGACTCATCTCAGAGTAGGTGAGATTTGTAGACTGGGGAAGAGCATTTCCTGAACCTGCAGGAATCAGGTGGTGATTCACCTGAAGGGAACACAGAGGGCTGGAACCTGGAACCGAGACTGTTTATGGAGTGAGGGGTGAAGTCTCTGGTTGGGGCCTATTCATGAGACCCAATTTTGTAGTCTATTAAGTTTATAATAGCATTGCCTGAAAGACAATGTCTATGTTTTAATTAAAAATATTTTATTGCTAAAAATGATAATGATTACTTGAGCTTTCAGCAGGTCATAATCTTTGCAGATGGAGGGTCTTACTTAGATGTTCAGGGCTGCTGACTGATCAGGGTGGTGGTTGCTGAAGGCTGGGGAAGCCGTGGCAATTTTCTTATTTTTTTATTTTCAAGATGTGGGGTGCAATTCAGGATTAGGTATACAGATGTTCATTATGCGGGTGCCCTTGTTGATGAGGTGTGTCCTCCTCCCCTGGCAGTTTTTCATTACTGGTAATCCCTTTCTTACAGGATTATGATAATTGTTCAAGGTCTGCTGGGGGTACTCAGTTCTTTGTTTCTGTGATAGATCATTCATTATTATAGACTCTAAGTCATCCAAGTTGCTGTGAAGGTCATAATTTTGTCCTTCTATATGGCTGCATAATATTCTACTGTGTATATGTACCACATTTTTAAAATTCAGTCCTCTTTCTATGGGCAGGATGGTTAGTTCCATGCTTTTGCTATTGTGAATAATGCCACAATAAACATGCATGTGCAGGTATCTCTTTTATAGAGTGATTTGAGTTCCTCTGAGTGTATTCCTAGAAGGGGGTTGCAGGGTCGTATGGAAGGTCGATTTTTAGATCTTTTAGGAATTGCCAAACTGTTTTCCACAAAGGTTATACTAGTTTTCACTCCCACCAGCAGTGTAGAAGTGTTCCCTTTTCCCTACATCCTCTCCAGCATCTTTGTTTTTTGAGTTATTGATGGTGGCCATCCTGACTGGCGTTAGGTGGTATCTCAGTGTGGTTTTAATTTGCATTTCTTTGATGACTAATGAGGCTGTGCATTTTTTCATGTATCTGTTGGCTACTCATACGTCTTCTTTTGAGAAGTGTCTGTTCATATCTTTTGCCCACTTTTTAACAGGGCTGTTTGTTTTTTTCTTTTGGCACATTTTAGTTCTGTGTAGATCCTAGATGTTAGGCCTTTGTCAGATAAATAGTTAGGAAATATTTTTTTCCCAGTCTGTGGGCTATCTCCCTGCTCTCTTGATGGTTTCTTTGGCTTTGCAGAAGCTTTTCAGCTTGATAAGGTCCCGTTTGTCTGTCTTATCTCTTATGGCATGGACACTTGTGGTTTTGATCAGCAATTGATTGCCAGTTTCAATTTCTAGTGTCAATTTCTAAGGTTCTTATAGTTTGAGGTTTTACATTAAGATTTTTGATTCATTTCGAATTGTTTTTTATGTATGGTGATAGTTTGGGGTCTTGTTTTAATCTTCTGTATGTGGTCAGCCAGTTTTCCCAGCACCATTTACTGAATAGGTTCTCCTCTCCCCAGTGGTTGATGGTGCAGGCTTTGTCGAAGATGAGTTGGTTGAGAAATTGAGGTTTTGCTTCCAGAATCTCTATTTTGCTCCATTGGTCTATATGCCTGTTCTTGTACCATTACTAGGCTGTTTTGATTATTGTATATGCTACGTATTGAAGACTAAAAATGTGTTCATGGTAGCAGCTGATATCTTCGAAACCTCTACTATTATTCATTAACTTGATGAAATCTATAGTCCTGTAATTTTACACATATGTAAATATAAATATTCAAAATATTTAAATATAAAGTTATATAGGGGCTAGGTAAAGTTAGCTGGGTCTGCCAAATCCCTTGAATGCTGTTTTTCAACATAACACAATTTGTTTTATACTTTTAAAAAATCATCCCACAATGACACATTTATGTAATGAGATCACTTTTTATTTGTAATCAATTTTAGAACTTTCTGACAAACATTTCCAAAAGATTCTGATTTTTTTAGATGCAAGATTTAAACAAGTAACTTTAAAAATTTTCATCAAATGGAATCAAAACCTATTAGTATCATGGATGAAGATAAATGAATGTAATGATCAAAGATAAAATCTTTTTTGAAGTTAGTAAATCTATAATACATGTAAAACATGTAATTCATGACACCGCATGGAAATTATGTATATATCCTTGTGGGGTTTCCTTCTGTGTTTCTGCAGAAAAACAAATGTGTGTTTAACTTAAATACTATTTGTTGGGTATCAAAATTATATTACTGTTTTCTTTTTTTAATATTTTATTTTAAAGATGTGGGGTACAATTTAGGATTAGATATATAAATAGGCCTCATACAGGTAAAGTTTGGGCCTCCCTTTGGTCCCCACTTTGCCTGGTTTGACATCCTTATTGATGTTGTGTGTCTCTTCCCCTGCTGCCCCATATTGCCTTTTCTAACCAAACAAAAAAAGCAACTACAATTTTTATGTTTTTCATTCTGTTTGGAGTAGGTGAATTATGTTATGGATGAGTAGCTAGTTCTAGGGAAAGTCTTTACATAAAAATTAGCCAATTTAATAATGGCTCAACTTTGTAAGAATTTGTCAGATTTACAAACAATCCTTCATTTAGGTTTTGCTCTCCCTGTACCATTTTGTACTTCCCCATGGGATTTGCTTTTAGCATTTGAAACCAGCTTCTTGCATTTTGATCAGGAGGGTTATGCTATGCAGATCTTAGTTTGAGAGCATTGTCCTTCTTGGATTGAACTTACTGCCATTTTTCGTTGTGATCTGTAAATAGTAAATGATGCACTGCTCATAATTTCACATCTTAATGGCCAGAACAACTAATTGCCATGTCTTAAAAGCAGCAGTTCAAAGGGAGAACATCACTTGTAGCCCCCTTAAAAGTATGTTGAGTTAACAACCTCCCTGCAAGGTCTGAGGATTATCATCCCAAATTTCCAGTGACTTATATAAAATCATAGCAGGGAGCTTATTTGGACAAATATTTGACAGGCTTCTGTTATAAGAGTAAAGGCAGTCCTGTTTTTTGTCTTATTTTGATATGTTTATTACCTGGGTTGACATTGTTTACTATGGTTAACTAATTAATAGTGATTTTTACTTTTAAAAAATACCTTTCCTTTGTAGAGTGCTGCTGATGTTTCTGATATATTTTTCTATTTTTAATTGGAAACAAAAATGTTTTGAGATTTCTAGTATTTCACTGCCTGATTTTGAGTGCCCTTTAAAAAAAATAGTGTAAGAGGGTTATAGGTTTTCTAAGTATGAAGAAAGACTTGTGAGTTTTTCCTGTTAATGAAGCACCTCTAACTGTGCGTGTGCATGAGCGTGTATTGGTTTTTAATAGGAGAGATCTGGTATCCCTACAGTATAGTAGGTGGCCCCTGTGTCTCCCCCTGAGATGGGTTTGCGATAGAATGGGCTTTTCCCTTCCTTAAGAATCTCAGTGAACAACATGTCCAAGGACACTAGCCTAACAGTTGACTTGGTGTATTTCAGTGCTTCATTCACTGGCAGTTTTGAAAAAGTGCAAGGCCGCCTTTCTGCATTAGTCTTATGTGTGTTATGCCAGTCTCAAGTTAGGACCTGTTAAAGCTGGCCTTACCTAACATCCAAAAAGGGAAGTAATACATGTTTAGTCATGAAAAAAGTGTAACACTTTGATGAAAAGAGCAGCTACCAACCAGCCTATAACTTTATGATTGCTCACATTATTGAAAGGTAAAACCTACGTAAATTTTTTTTCTGCTGATTTTTACAGCAAGTCTCAGATTTCATAAAAGCCCAGGAGACTTTAAGCAATAATTCTCTACTGCTTCATCAGAACATCCCTGTTAAGTGCCGGGCAGCTCTTTTAATACTTTTAAAAAAGTTATTATAAACCCCAAATTTATTTTGAAGACAGGGCAGCATCCTGGAGAGAGAGAGATAGAGAGAGAGAGAGAGAGAGAGAGAGAGAGAGAGAGAGAGAGAGAGAGAGACTCCCAGCACAACACTGAAAAGATTTTTTTGTTTTTTTTTAAAGTAGGGGTTTTTTTGTTTGTTTGTTTTCTTATAAGATTAGTTTTAGAGATGTCAAGCCTACAGACAAGTTGAAAGAATAGTTCAACTAGATTTTTATCTAGGCTTACAAAAATGTTAGCATTTTACACATATGCTACTCCCTCCACCAAAGACATACATTTTGGGGGGTATGTGGTTGAAATTGTAGTCTTGTTTTTGGACCTAGGCCTGGTTCATAGATCACTGATTACAAAGTCAGCACAACCAAACTCATTTTTTCTTTGGGATATTGGATGACTCATTCAACTTCCCTTGACTTCAGGGTCTGTAAAATGACGATTTCAGTTCAGTCACAGTTTGGGTGAAAATTCCCATAATTCCCATAGATTTTTAAAGAGACAGGGTTGCTCAAGGAGAGAGTATTTCTCCCATTTTCCAAGGAATTAAAATTAGGTTAGATTATTGACAAGTCTTTCTCAATCATGAAGTGAACTCTTTATTCTGACTTCTCACTTTTTCAGTGTGAGACAGGGCGGGTGTATTACCAAGGTGTCCCTTGGTCTTCTAGTGACTTCTCCATGGCATATGACTTCTTCCTTTTTTCCTCTGTTCTTTTTTGATTTCTCTGCATTGGTGTGAAGCAGGGAACTGTGTTCCCTTCCCCAGTGTTGGTAGGTGTAGCATTTGTGTTGCACTCTCATGTTTATCTGTCACTAATCTCAGGTGTATCCGTTTCTTCAAGGAAAATGCACCTATAAAGGATGTCATCATCCTTTGTAGTATGCTAACTCATTAGTACAAAACAAAGATAAGCTGGAACATAATTGAAATAGCTCAAGATGGTCTTAAATGCCCATGTATTTTCCGTGTGGTTAGAACATACAATAAGGATTGTAGTAAAATCTTCACCAAATCCTGTTTTATCTCTATATGCAAAAGTCATTCTAATTGTGGTTCACATCCAGAAGCTGAGAATTTGTGCTGAGTGTAATTATTGCAAACCCTTTAATAGTCATTTGACAAGATCGATATCTTTGAGTTCCTATGCT